AACTTACCAGGCTCCCTTTCCGCTTAAAAATCATCTCCGCTCCCTGGGGAAGAAGCATGTCTGTAATCAAGGCAAATTGGGATGGGAAAAGGCAGGTGATTGCTCTCAAGGGCTCCCAGCACCGCAGCCGCAGGTGGTGCTGGTCTGAGGGTGATGGCCTGGGTCCCCCCCCCGCCCCCCAGCCCTGAGTGGCAGCCCTGATTGCAGAAGAGGGAAGGGACCAGAAGCCATGGAGTACCTCCTCCGTGGGAGCTCAGTTATTTCAGGAGCCTTGTCCCAGGGTGCGGGTTCTGCCACCCCCCGGCTCAGGCAGGACCTGGCCCGCCTCGGTGTGAGGTCTGGGCTGCTGGAATTGTGGGGGAGAGACAGGGCCAGGTGGGAAAGGCCCCGCCCCCGTGGAGATGCCCCCTCCCTCCCCATAATGGGGAAGGGATAAGCAGGTGGAGCACAGGGGACGGTGGGCAGTGAAGTGGTCCCGCATGATTATGAATGGGCCACACGCCTCGTTATATGTTTATCAAAACCCAGAGAATATAGGCCCCCCAAAGTAAATTCCGATGTAAACTATGGATTTCCGTTAATAACAGTGTATCAATATCAGCTCAACAACTAACAAGTACAACACGCCAGTGCAAGACATAAGCAATTGGAGGAACTGGAGAGGCAGGAAAGGGGGTTGTGGGGATCTGTGCTTTCCCATCAAATTATCCGTAAAGGGAAAACTGCTCTGAAAGAATTAAATCTATTCATTTAAAAAGAAGAAGAGAGGCGGGAGGCAGCATGGCCATTCTGAGCGAACCCAACTGCCTCGCTGACCCCCCTGTGCCCTGGCAGACATGGCCCTCCCCTGGCCCTCGGGCGCCACACCACAGGGAGGCTGGGCGGTGAGCAGCCCGCAGTCTGACGAGCTGTCTGGCCTCTGTGCGCTCGGGCGGGCATCCCGGGCGGTGTGCCAGGCTGGGCCCTGCTCGCGCGTATTTGCTCTGACAAACCACCACTTTGCTTCGTGGTGTCGGCATCATGATTTACGGGAGCAGGATGACGGAAGCCGCCCGGAGCCGGCCCCCTGGAAGAGTGTCTGGGGCATTCCCGGTGAACTGCACCCGCCCGTCCTCAGGAGCCAGTGGGGCCTCGGTGCTGAGGTGGAGGAGGCTGTGCGCCTGCGGTGACTCTGGGGCCGGGCCCTGTCCTGATGCCTATGCCCACCCCACACCCAGCACGCCCCCGCCCTCCACTGCAGCCCTCGTGCCTCCAGTGAATGAGGTGATGGCAAAGGGCTCCCTGGCAATGGGGACTGGGTAGGAACTGCTCTCGTTCCATGCCTAAGGCCATGTTTCTGAGTAAATGCGTTTTTCTAAGGATACACCCCATATCCCTGCCTCCAGACTGTTCCTTTAGCCAACATTTCCTCCACCAGGAGTCCAGGGGAGAGTGAGGTCTTGGCTGAGGCACACCCATGAGGCACCTTGGTCCCAGGGCTGACCCTCTGCCCACCACTGTCACTCTGAACTTCTTACATCGTCACAGTCTTCCCAGGGGGCTGCTGGTGTGGCCTCGGAGCCTGGGCCTTGTCCCTAACAGGACAGAATCTCCCGGGGGCATGCCCACAAACTACCTACCAGCAGAGGCGGGGGGGAGGGGGGGGGACTAACGCCCTCTGACGCCCCATCCAAACCACTGCCGAGGGAACCATGGGTGACGGAGTGCCACCACAGGCGCCCGCCCGTCTCCCCACGGGGCCCTGGGTTCTCTTCTGATTGCTCGCTCGGACGTGCATGAACTCCCACCAAGGGCATTCATTCCCGCAGTGGCAAGGACCTCGAGAGAGCAGCCCGGCGTCACTTCTCAGAGCCCAAAACCCCGTGTTCCAGGAAGGCCAGGGACCACACGCCCCCATGGGGCAGCCTTTCCAGGTTCTCTCAGAGCACAAAGCGGAGTCCGCACACAGTAGGTCTTTGGAAACACCCAAACACTCCCAGAATGCGGACTGGTGGGTTCCACGGGTACGACCTTGGAGCCGTGAATCACTGGGTCCCGTGGCGCCTGTGGCATGCGCTCTGGAAGCAGCCGGGCTGAGGCGGAGGGTGACCGGTGGTTCCTTCCAGCGGCTCCATCTCCATCTCCATCAGGTTCCACCACCGGGATTCGGTTTAATCAAATCCACCCCAGGCAAGAACACGGGGAGGGAGGCAGCTCAGGACCCCAGAGAAAGGGCTCCTGGCCCCACTGCCCGCTCCCCTGCCCTGATCGAGGGAGACACTGCGAGGCTCAGAGCGAGGAACACGCCCTGCGTGCTCAGCACCTGCTGCAAAGTTCCTGAATCAGGGTCCCATCGCCCAGCGGCCTTCAGGAGTCAGGCCGGGCCGAGTCAGAGGAGGCTGGTTGGGGGTCTGCACCCGCCCAGCTCCCTGGGACCCTATGGGTGACCAGCCTATGTGAAGTGGGCGTTATTTGGAAGCAGCAGCTGGATCCAAGAGAGAGAGGGCGATGGGGGGACCCTGTGCTCTGGGGAGACCTGACTCACAGCAGCATTGACCCCCTGGTGCCTATGTCCATGCTGGTGGACAGTGGGTCACCAGACCCTGACCACCCGGTGGCTGCGCCCTTGGAGGACCACGTGGCGTGGCTGGATTTTCAGGCCCCGATCCAGCTCAGCATCAGCACAGTCCCCAGACCGTGAGCACAGGTCACCACTCAAACAGAGTGGTGGGGATGCGTGAACAAGTTGTGGAAAAGGCAGAGATTGGGGGCCCCTGGCAGGAACACAGGCAAACAAGGGTGGCACAGTGGTGGGGACGCCGGTGGCCTGGAGGACAGATGTGCCATCTCACTGGAGCCGCCTGGGGAGGCGGGCCCAGTGCCGACCGGCCTTCGGGAATGCTGGGTTTCTAGGTGACGTCTTTAAATGTGAGCAAGTCATTTCTAAAGGTGTTTAAGCTTGTCCTAGCCGGTTGGGCTCAGTGGATAGAGCGTCAATAGGTAAGTTACACTGGAATACTACAAAACATTGAAATAAGAAAGCAAGAGAAGAGGACAGAGGGACAACATCCAGTGGGACAATGCGAACAGTAAAATGGCAGGCTACACCCGGTCGGTATCAATGACACCTTAAAGGTAAATGGGGCAAACACACCATTACAAGTTCAAAGTAATAACTGGGTGTGTTTATCGGAGACCCAGCCTACGTGAATCAGAGATCAGGAGGGGCGTGAGGCAGGGGACCAGAGGAACAGGAACAGGGACCAGAGCGCCGAGAGGTGACCGGTGAGCAGCTTCAACTCCAAACGCTACATCAGGGGCCACGAGTGACCGTGGAGCCTCCGTCCCAGGACTAGGGTCACGGTGGGCTTCCACGCCCCAGAAGGCTGGTGGGAGGGGCCGTTCAAGCACCAGTGGGTCTGCTGGCCACCCCGCCCTGGGGTGCCCATCACCTTCTCATCCCCCTGGTCGGGGAGCCACCTGGGGTCCCACGTCCCTCCACGGTGGGCAGACAGGAACCGGGCATCAAGGGTGGCCAGTGTGCTCCGTGGCCCAGAGCTCCTGGGAGCACCCACACTTTTCATTCTGAGTCAGAGAAGAGTCCTTGATGACCACTCACTCGGGATAAAAATACCCACACTCCCTTCCAGCCACAGAAAGAAGGTGGGCTGAGAGGCCCCGTGGGTGAGGCCCCTGCCCACAGCCCCAGCCTGCTCCTGCAGGGCCTCTTGGTCAGCAGGGCCGGGTGACCCTTGGCACCGCCCTGGGTAAAAATACTGCTCTAAAAAAGGGACGGCGCTTGGTCCCCGGAGAGGGGTCAGGAGGGCAGCGGCCGCCGGGACACGCAGCAGCAGCAGCTGAGGGAGGGGCGTGGCCGGCCCAGACAGCCAGGCTGTGTCCCCGGAAGCCCAAAAAGGGCCCCTGCCCACCCCTCCTCCGCTTCCCAGAAAAGAGGCCTGTGGCTTAGCAAGATGGAGCTATTTTTATGCCTCTGCCTTCCCGGGACAGGGTGAGGGGGAAGGCACCCAGCTCCCAGCCCCCCACCCCCCCAGGGAGCACCATTCAGGTGAGGCAGGAAGAACAAGGCCAGGGCGGCCCCCATTAGAGGAATGGAGAACTAAGCAAAGCAACCTCCTCCTCTCCTCAGTAAGCGGGGCTGGCCGGTGTTCGCTGGGATCTCAGTGAGGGGTGAGGGGGAGAGACGGGCCCCACGCCTCCAGTGTCAGCGGTCTGCGTGGGTGTGGGCGGGAGCGGGGAAGTGGGTGCCTGAAGGGGCCTGAGGGTGCTGTGGGCTGGTGCTGGGGTGGGAACAGGTACCACCTGGAGTAAACCCTAGGGTTTCCAGGGACATCCTGGGCCTGTCTCCTCCCATTTCTCTTCCCTCTTTTCTGCCCCTCTCCCACTCCACTGTCACTGCCTCTTAGGTTCACAGCTGGCGTAGGTTCCCCCTGCTCTCCCACCCCGGTACCAGGGCCAGGGAGGTGGGGGATGAGATGAGGTTCTGCATGCCAAGGGGGAACGCCATGGAGACTCTCCCAGATAAGCTGCAGAGGTGGCCTGGGAGGGAGCCGAGAGGGAGGGAGTTGGGGTGGAGGAAGGAGCTCAAAGTGGTGGGGGTGGGGGTGGGGGTAGGGGGTGGGGTTCTGCCTGAGCCGGGGCCCCTCCGGCCGCTCTGTACTCACAGCAGAGCTGAATGATGAGGGGACCTTCCCGGGGCAATTGGAGTGGCCTGAATGATGGCTCCCAAATATACGTTCATGTCCTGGTCCCAGAACCTGTGCTGTGACCTTATCTGGAAGCAGGGTCTTTGCCGAGGTGACTGAACTAGGATCTTGTTGAGCTCATCCTGGATTATTGCAAGGTCCCACAGCGTAGGTGTAAAGTGAGGGGCCAGCACAGACAAGGGGCAGGGGCCAGGCCTGCAGCGAGACACCCGGGCGTGGAGGAGTTGATTACCAATATGGATGGAAACAGCAATGATCCCTGTCATTCATCAAGGGCCCACTGTGGAGACCGGTCACTCCACATCTATGATTTTTATTCTGCAGAAGAACCCTAAGAAATAGATATAATTTTTGTAATTTTACAGGTGAGAAAAGGGATGCATAGAGAATGAGATGCCAGACCCAGAATTCACGTCGAAGTCCGCGTCCTCCGGTGTGGGCACTGCCCTGGAAGCAGTGATGGCAGTGAGCTGGCTCACTCTGGACCGCCGTCAGGACAGAGGGGCTGCTGTGGAGGCGCAGGACCACGTGTGCTGGCCCCGCCACAGGCCGCCATGTGCATGCGGAAGGCCGGTATCCTCTGCATCTCAGTCCATTCGGTTCCTGAGCTCAGGCAGGGGAAGTTTTGGTAGCAAACTCTGACGGCAGGGACTCCCACACCCATCCAGCCCTTACGTAGGGGATGGCAACGAGCAGTGGTGTGACTCCTGAAGGACTCACTCAACAACAATCTGAATGTCCCCAGCTCCTGGCCAGACAGCCAGAGGCCAGCGGCCGGCCGAGAGAGCCTGTCGGACTGGCTAGGTGAGCCCATCGGACTGGCTTTCTGGTGCACTTGTCTGAGGGTCCTGCTTACGGAAGAAGTTAAACGCGACTTCCGATTCCCATCACCACCCTCTCCGGGGAGGGATCTGCCGCACCTGTGTGTCTGTGAACACACACGTGAAGTCCGGTGTACGAAGTGAGAGCTAAACCAAAGGGTATGAAGAACAAAGATCTGTAAAGACAAGAACAATCGCAAACGCGGGAGTCGGGGTGTGAGACAGGCGTCCCTGTTGGAGGAGGACAGGACGGGCGGGCAGGACCTGGGCCCCTAAAAGAGGAGATGAGCAGCCCAGCGGGGAGAGGCACCCCATGCGTGTGTGGCCTGGGAGCAGTGTGAGGAGGGCCACCCGGGCCGGCGGGCTGCTGGGCGAGGGGAGCAGGGCTGGGGAGCGGGGGGGGGGACTTGGAACCTGGTGGCTTGGAACCCTCAGGCCAGCGGCGCCGCATGGCTGTGCCCGGCCTGGCCCTGGGAGCCGCCGTGGCCTCTGTGTCTCTCAGTCCAACCACTTTCTCTTCCAGGCGGCCCCACCCAGCGTCCCTTTCCTGCCCCAGGCTGGGGCTTTCCGAGCGAGCGGTTACTCACCACTCCCGGTGTTTGTCCGCGGGGCCTTCCCACCCGGCTGCCGTTGTTTTGACTTGCCTGGCTCTTCTTGTGTCTTCACCCCGGTTATGTAAGGAGGCTTTATGTAACTGGCGGGCTCCATTGTCCTGGGCCTAGGGGGGCACACCAGCCATCTAGGGCACTGGCCAAGGTCTCCAACACGGGATGGGTCGGTGCAGTGAGCGCCCAGCCTGCTCATGCCTCCTGAGGTACCCCTCCTCCAGCTCTGCCTTCTGCCCCCTGCCTGCCACGCCACAGTCAGCGGGAGGCCCGCCCCGCCCTCTGCCCTGGAGAGCGATGCTTTGGGGCCCCAGAAAGAGAGAAGGGGTGAGGGGACTGCGGAGAAGCGAGAGCAGGAGGCTTCCTTGGGTGAATCTCAGATTCCAGGACAGTTGGTGTGGGAGGGGACCCCTGGCACCCCAGGAGGGGGTTGGGGAGGGCAGAAGCCGAGACAGCACTGGGGGCCTCGGGGAGACAGTAGATATCCCTCAGGCCTGGGCCACACCCCACCTTGAGGAGGGGAAGCTGGCCGCTTGTCCCCAGATACAGCCTTCTTGTCCAGGGCTCTGGATCGTCCACCTCCAGGCACGTCCAGCTCCTGGGGCCAGAGGGAGACTCCAGGCAGCACCGGGTTCGCCATACATGCCAGCAGCCTGGACAGGACCCGGGGTGCCAGGCTGGAGGGAGAGGAGATGGCTCTGCCCCATGCTGGAGGGAGAGGAGGAGGAGAGGGTGTGACCAGCACCCAAGGCCAGGGCCAGGCTGCTCCAGCAACAGAGAGAGGCAACAGGGACTGGAGCAGTGAGAGGAGGGATTCCCCCACTCCTCCCTGCCTCCGCCCCAGGCTCCCCCCAGAACATGATGTTGGCCGGGCAGGGGGGCTTGGGGCCCACAGTCTCCACGGTCAGACCTGCCCCAAGAGCCACGCCGGGCAAGGGGGACTAAGGGCTTCTAGGCCCCACAGCCTGTGTGACTCGAATGAGGCGTCAGACAGGAGGCCACGGCCAAGGCCACTGCAGGGCTGCCCAGCAGCAGGCTTGCAGAGCACCTGGGCGCGGCTGGGCAGTGGTGGGGGCCCGTTGTCGGGGCCAGTGGCCCGAGGAGAGCACTGGCCTGAGGTCCAGCCTGTTCTTTGAGGCCAGGACATCGGCGCTGGGGGCGGGAAGCCCTGGATGACTCGCTTCCCCCGGGGGTGAGGACCCGCACTCGGACGTGTGTCCTCGGCTGTGTGCGGGAGCCGCGGCGTCCCCTCCTGGGCTGCGCCCGGAAGCCAGGGCTTCCCCTTTCCTGGCGGCTACAGCGGCCGCCTTCTTTCCTATTCCCCAAAAGGAAAACTTCTGCAGCCCTCCGGCCAAGTCGGCGGGAACTGACTTCATTTCGGCGGAGATTAACCGGCAGGAAGTGTCATTATCTAGATGGACCCCTGAGCCCGGGGAGAAGGTCGTCCACAGGCCCCGTCCCAGACAGCCAGCAGGGAAACCACGGGTGACGGGAGTGGGGGGGTGGGGGGTGGAGTGGACGCCAGCAGGAAGGAGGGACCCCGCCTCGGCCCCTCCGTGCTGCCAGCAGCTCCTGCTCCTCTGGCCCCCTCGGGGCTCCCGAATACGCAGGCACATACAAGGGCAGAAACGTCCCCGGACGCCAGATCAGGGTCCTCCCCAAAACATGCCCTCTTCAAAGCACTTGGGCTGGACCTCATATCCCCACGACGGGAGACTGCTCTGAGGAGGAAAGGCTCCGGCAGGTACACCATCGCAGTCACCTGTCAGCACGTGGAGTCCCTTTGGCCTGAGGACGCCGGGTCCCGGCCTGCGGGGCTGGCTCTGTCCAGGGGAGCGCTGACTTCACTCCTGCAGTGTGAGGGGCACCTGGGCCCGCCCAGGGGGAGGACCAGGACAAAGGCTGCTGCCCCTCCTCCGGGCCCGCAGGCCCTGCACGGGGAGGGCCCCTGCTCCCGGGTAGAGGCAGGCAGGCTCATTCACAGAGCCGTGGGCTGCAAACTGCGCTCTCGAGCCACATGCGGCTCTTTGGCCCCTTGAGTGTGGCTCTTCCACAAAATACCGCGTGCAGGTGCACACGTACAGTGCGATTGAAACTTCGCGGCCCATGCACAGAAGCCGGTTTTCGGCTCTCAAAAGAAATTTCAATCGTTGCACTGTTGATATTTGGCTCTGTTGACGAATGAGTTTGCCAACCACTGACACAGAGCAACACAGTCTGTTGTCGCATTATTATTATTATTATTATTATTACTATTACTATTATTATTATTATTCTTGGCAGCCCTCATCTCCTCTGGTCCTGCGTCCTAACCTGGAGCCGGCTTCAGCCACATGGAGCCACGCTTCTCTCGGCGTCTAAGGACACCCGCCCTCGGACCGGCGGCAGCAGACACAGCTGAGCTCGGCGGGAAGTCCGGAGACACGCTGGTCCTGCAGCCGACGGGCTTCCCATGTGTCTGTCCAGGGACAGGAGACGTCCTCCTCCCCCAGCCTCGTCCCTGAAAGGCCTGACGGAGCAGGCGCTCGCTCTGTGCCTCCGGGAAGCCTCTGTGACCCGATGAACGCCCGCCCACGGCTGCTCCGGGCTCTGAGCTCACCTGTGCTCACCAGGATAAGGTGACCAGATTTTAACATTGGTAAAGTGGGACACCACTGATGGGGGAGTCAGAGAGGGGGGTCTTGATTAAAAATTCAGTCTATATGGAGCAACAAAAATTTTCATGGAATGCAAAAATAGTACTGTAATGTATTTTTTTAAAAATTTCAACACAAGTACAACTTACAAATATAATAAATAAATAAAAATTATGTATAGTCGTGTCAGTTTCAATGCCAGCGCTAGACTTTTTGCTGCCACTATAAAATATAAATAATATGAGTACTATCTGCTAAATTCAATAAAATTTATTTTTATGAAATAAATAAATAAATTACTTACCTAAATTATCTGGATAGCTGATTTGCAATGACATCACTTGTTTAACTAGCTTACTAGCTCGCAGTACGACGCGTATCGTCTGAGAGACAGTTACAAAATGTTTTCGTCGTTGCCAATCCCAAAAAATGCCATTGTTCATTAAGTCCAAACAATGGACACAGCCCGCCCCACTCTCCTGAGCTGTGTTCACAGAGGCGGGCGGGGGCTGAGCTGAGAGGAGAGTCCGAGAGTTCCAGCCCTGAGACAGGGGAAGGAGCATGGGTCAGAGTGCAGGCCTGGCGCACCCCGAGAGAGCCACATGCAGGGTGGAGATGCCACAGCAGAGCAAGGAAGGGGGAGAGGGAAGGCAGGAGGGAGAAAGCACAAAGGGGTCAGGGGTCAGGGGCCAGGGGTCAGGGGTCAGGGGTTAGGGAGGTGGCCATGGCAACCTGGTGAGGTTTCTGGACCTGGGGGAGGGTTGTGCTGGACCAGGCAGGCCTGTGACTCTATGTGGAGAGTCCGCCCCGTCTGCTGCTCAGGGCCAGCGCGGTCGCCTCCCTCACCTGGTGATGCCTGTGAGCCCAGCACCACTCACTCATCTAAAACACAAAGAATGAGGAACCATATAAGATCACACTAGACTTTCCCCCAAACTGGGCAGATCTTTGAGGATAATTCCTCCTGGAAGACAGGGAACAAGATCCTATAATGCTGTGGGTTTCTTGCCAGCTCTCAGTCCATTCCTCTGTGTAGTGAATTATTGTACTATTTTCAATTCATTGGACTCTCCAATTCCATGATAGCATGGCTTTTGGGTCTTGGGAACAAAAATTGTTTCTTTAGTTGTCCAAAGATATAAAGCGCTCTCTCGGCGCCCAGACCAGGTTCTGGCGTCTCTCCCACTTCCCAGGCGAGGAGACCCCTGACCCCGGGGCCTTTCCCTCCAACTCGAGGGTCAAGCCCGAGGGGACCTCTGAGGACATTAGTCACACTCCGAGGCCCCGGCCACAAGCTCTGGCTGAGCCCAAGGCCCAGGTCCCTTCCCTGCCCTGGGCCACAAGGCAGGGCAGGGGAGCTGGCTCTCGGCCCAAGTCCACACCAGCCTCCCGCGAGCTTGGGCCTGCATCACCTGCAGGGCCCAGGGCCCAGAGCGGGGCTGGAGGGCCATTGCAGACAGAGGTGGTCATCAGACAGCCGGCATGTCTGCGCACAGGGCCAGCGGTGTGACCTCACCAGTCACCCCTCCAGGGTCGGCCTGCACTGTCCCAGCCCTGATGAGAGGAGTGACACAGCTTCAGCCTCTGAGCCGGGGCCGCCCCTGTGCAGGCTCCTCCCCAGGATGGGCCCCGGCCTGCGGAGGGAGGGCCGCCCACATTCCTGGGGAGGGAGGCCCCGATGCCTCAGGTCTGGGCGGCCTGGGCCCCACCTGGGAGGCTGCCTGGGGCGCCAGCGCTCTGTGGAGGGAGCGGGAGTGCTGGGGAGGACTCCCACCCACCCTGCACGCATCATACGTGTATCACTCTGCTCTCCTGGCCCCTCACCCTGCCCGCTGCAGGGAATGCTGCCCTCCCTCTGCACGTTGGCCCGACCCCCACCTGCTCACCGTGCCCTCCACTGGCTGAGAGGAGGCGCCAGCGTCGCCCCAGGGCGATGCCTGCATGCCCCCAGCCCTGCCCGTCACACCGTCGTCCGGGGTGTCCCGCTGGACCAGAGTCTCCGGGTCCTCCCATGGCAAACAGAGACGGGATGGCTAGGCCTCAGGGCTCAGTCCGCCTGGATGTCCGGCATTCCAACCTCAGCCTCCCTTAAGTGTGGACGTGAACAAAGCGGGGGGAGGCGGGTATCCTCCCCAGGCCGGTCGGTGTGGAAGGAGGCTGGGCCGCAGACCCAAGCTCTAGGCGTGAGGCAGGTGCAGGCCCAGGGCAGGTGTGGCCACGCCCAGGGCTGGGGTGGTGAACCAGCCCGGACCCTGCCACAGTGTGGGCAGCCCTCCCATACCCATCGGCCCCATGCCCATGACCCCTGACCCCCGCGGGTCTCGGTGGGCGCTTCCTGGGCCCACAATGGGACCCCGCAGACCTTGCTTCCCTCTGGCATCGGCACAGACCCACACAAGCACTCCGGGGCGTTCTGGGAGTCAGTCAGGATCGCAATATGGGAAATCAATCCTCCGGAAGCCATTTCACAGCAGGACTCTGATGGATCCGTGTGATGAACATCGATTCTCTTAAAGGACCCTCTTATCCAGACTTGAAACACATATTTCGGAAATGGTCCGGGCAGCTGGCTGCCGCTGTTTGCCAGGAGGGGCAGGGGCTGGACATCCCGGCCAAACACCTTAGCCAGGGTCAAGGGCACATTCAAAAGAAAAGATAGTTAAGCTCGACTGATGCATAGCTGCCGGAAAGCAGCCAGAAAGACAAACCTTTGGAGACATTCTCAGTTATTTGCCTCCAGAGCACCAGGGTCCACCTGGTTCTGTGCAAACGACTTCAGGGAACCAATCTAAACCCGGAGACGCAAAAGCAACCAGAGGCCCCGAGCCGGTGGAACCCAGCTGCTCCCCCTCTGCTAGCTGCGTGGCCTCAGGCTAGTCCTCCCCCTCTCTGTGCCTCAGTTCCCCCTCTCAGGAGTGGATGAATTCACACAGCCCCGTGTCTGCGGGGCTCAGGAACGCTCAGGTGCCCTCTGTCTGCACGCCGTCACACCTGGTCCATTCCCCGCTGGCTGCTGGGGGCACCGGCCTGGTTTTGGGAAG